TATATATATGTATGTATGTATATATATATATATATATATATATATATATGTATATATATATATAACACCAAAGTTTTACTTCTTACACGTATACCACCAAAAGGACAAGTTAAAGTGATTATCCAAGTTAGGGGTGTAGCCACACAAAATGGAGCTTTGTACAAGCTATGCTTGTTCAATTTTGTTACTATTATTGTTAGGTTCGTGCCCATTAATATTTGATTTTTCCTTGTTTTTTCAAACCGATTTTGATCAGCTAGGCCAGCTCGAAATAGGATCATTAACATCCCTACACATAATTTAAGATTTATCAATCTCCCTTCCAAAAAAAAAGTCAAGATTTACATACATACCACACAATTCCTATGTATATATATATATATATATATATATCTAACACCTAAGTTTTACTTCTTACACGTATACCACCAAAATCTTTCATATCACATATAAAACAACATCATTTTAACTTTTAAAAAGTGAAACACAACTTTTCATGCATAGTTAAATGTGTAAAAATTGAAGTTTGGGTGTTAGATATATAAATACATAGGAATTGAGTGCATGTAGGTAAATCTTCTAACTAAAAAGGAGGATTTACATGCATATTATGATTCTTATGTACATATATATTTAGGATATGGACTTCGATATTTACAAAAATCAAATCTTTAACATCAGATAAAAAATACCGCAACTATTAACTTTTTTAGAGTGAAATACACCTTTTTGGCAGATATTTTGATTCCATTGTGACATTAAAAGTTTTATGCAAGTAAAGATCAAAGTTTAGGTGCTAAAAATGCAAATACATAAGCATGATGCAGTATTTATATAAATACACAAAAAAAAGAGGCGGAGTTAAATTCAACACCTCATCATACAATGGCAGCACTCAAAAATAAATACACCCAAAGAACTATGATTTAATTTTTGCATTATTTTCTCCATAATACATAAATATATTTCATATTTAGTTATATATATCTAACTGAAATTTTAACAATCTGAATACAAATATATGAAGCTTTGTTTGTGTTCAAATCATTAAAAAAGTGAGCTAAAATGTTGTGCATGCTTTGAAGTTGATGAATGAGCCGAACATGATCCAATAAATGAGCAAGACATGAGTTGTTCACAAACATCAATCAGATGGACATTCCAAATCCTAGTAATGCTGTTTTTGGTTTGAATGAGCTCGAGAAATAGCATCAAATTAAGTGGGTTGGACTTTTCATGAATTCCAATTTTGGCTAGAACCTATAAAGAAATTTTTTTTCTTACAAAGGCAATGTTGATTCGGATAAAATAGGCAAAGGTGACTTGGAGTTTGCAAAAGTGCATTCATGCAAATAAAACTACAAAGAAAGATGGATCGGTGAAATCAGTAGGTAGACAAAGTATGGCTGATTTTGCTAAACTTAACTCTGATACCTGTTTTAAGTTAGTTATTGGTACGTTGCATGTGATGAACTTTTGAGAATCCTTAGGATCAAGTTCTTTTTTATTACTTTCTAGATCCTATGATAGCATTACAAGCTAAACTTATGGGAATGATGGCTTTAGTTGTGGATTTAAGAGGGGGGGGGGGGGGGGGGGCATGTGCCCCACTAAAACTTTAGCATCTTTTAATTTATAATACATCTATAGTTTTTAATCATGTTTTTCACTAAAACATATGATTTCTGTACCTTCTAAAATTTTTTAATTAGTTAATTTGTGCCTCTGCTACATAAAATTTTGGCTCCGGCTCTGGATGGCTTGGAATTTTGCATAAAGGCTTACCTTCATCAAATTATAACTGAGGGGACACAAGTTTGATTCTACAGTCATTTATTGATCTAGGAATGTGCCATTGGGATAAATTCTATATAGTTAGGAAGACTCTGGATCTAGTTGGATGGTTAAATTGCACAATTCATTATGTTTACAAGGTAGCAAATCATGGCTGAGTTAGGAGCCAATTTTTAACTTTTGGAAATAGTTAGGTCATAAAATTCAGAACATTCATATTTTAAAACTCTATTCAAAGTTTTTGTTTCTTTTTGCTCCTTGTAATCAAGTTTCTCATTTCATTTACCACTTTTCTACTGTGATCAACATTCTAGATCAATGTCCAGCAGGAGATTCATGTATCAATCAGTTCCATTATATTTCTAATGGAAAGGAATGAGGCTACAAGTCTTTAAGGATATCAGAAGGTGCATAATCAAACATATCTGCATAAATAAGTCATAATGCTGAAATGTATGATAAAAGAACTCCAATTCCTGCCTATTTACTCAAACGGTACATCAATGTGTTCGTGTTGTATCGGAATCAACAAGAACATGAAGCAGCAAACCATAAAATGTTATGAATAGTATTTTCCTGAATGTCTATTAAGTAGGAATGTTTTTGCAATTCTCATGATTTACTAGTATACCAATCTGTAAATGATCCATTGTAAAGCAATGAGTAGTTCCTCAGGTAAGAAACTCAATTTTCCCACAAGAAAAATAGGAAGGGGAATCCTATTTTTTTATAAAACCTACAAGCACAGGAAAATCACATTTATAGAACTGAAAATTATAAATACAAGTTTTAAAACTTGGAAATACTGATCATTATGTTAGCCTTCTAATCAAACAATACCTAAAATAAGTCCATATTTTAGCAGTTTTGAAGGGCTAAATAGCTACTCAATATGACGCAGCCTATTAACAGCATACCATGCTAAGCAGACTCCGAAGGTTGCTGGGTGACTCCAGATTTCACAAGCAGCTTGGTGAGCCCTTCTGGAGAACAAACCTGGTACTTCACCTCTCCTGAAGGAAGCAAGAAAATCTCCGCTAGCTCAAGCTTCTCCGCTGTAAGACTGGTACTATCCATAGTCTTGCTAAGCACCTTGAGCGCAAGCTGGACTGCCTCCTCTCTACCAATATCCTCCTTATAGTCCTGCTTCAGCATGGACTGTGCAGCCTGGTTGTTGGCCCCAATGGCAGCGGCCTTCCAACCACTGTAATTCCCACTGGGATCACTCATATAGAGCTGAAAGCCGAAGTTGGAGTCCCAGCCAGCGAAGAGGAAGGAGACCCCGAAAGGGCGGAGCCCGCCAAACTGGGTGTAACCCTGCTTGGTGTCACAAAGGGACTGCACGAGCTGTTCAACTGGCATGGGCTCCTGGTATGCGAAAGTGTAGCGCTGGGCCTGAACGCGCGCGGTGTTGATCAGGATGTTGGCGTCAGACATGATACCGGCGACTGCACATGCCAGATGATCGTCAATCTTATACATTTTCTCGGTAGATTTGGAGGTCTGGAGAAGCTTAGAGGTGACCTTCTTCTCTCCAACAAGGACTACGCCGTCGGTACCAAGTATACCGATCGCCGAGCCGGCGTTGCCGATGGCTTCCATGGCGTATTCCACCTGGTAGAGTCGTCCCTCCGGGGAGAAGATCGTCGTCCGGCTGTCATATCGGCGGGACATCTTTGATCTTTAGTCTTTGCTGAGTGTGGTAGGTTCACTGCATGAACAACAGTTTAGGGTTTGAAAAAGTTGGTGAAGGGTTGAGAAGAAGAGGAGGAGAAGAGCATGAGAAAACTGATCTAGACCGATAGATGGAACGAAGAAATGGGGACGATATGCAATATAAGGTAACGGATTTAGAGCATGATTTAAGCTGGATTTAACCTAAATCTTCCCAGACGCTCATTTCGGACAAAAAAAAGCCTCGGATTTGATAAATCCGGATTTCAAAGATTTCGGCCTTAAATCCCATGAATCAGTGGACGCTTCGCACGAAAAAAAATGAGACGTGAAGTTACCTTCCTTAATGTTTCCGGGTAGGAGAGGAGGAAAAAAATGGAGTTTCGGGTCTCTGTAAGCCGTGATCCCGTGGTTGCGTTCCCAGCTAGCTTCAATTACGACTGCATCGCGAGGCTTCGGTGACGAAGGCGATGGTCATGGACGAAACCAGAGAGAGGGTGGGGAGGCACATGCGAGGGGTTTTCGGGGAAGAGAGTAGGAATGCAGGCGATCGGTTTGCTGGTACTCGATGTCGGGCGTGCTTCTTTCCTTGGCCTCCAAGCAGGCCTTTTTGAGCCTTAATTCTTGATTAATTTTAATTTTTAGTAGTTTTAATTATTAAATCTGATCAAATTAAAAAAAATGAAATGTTAACTTAGCAAAGTTAACACAAACATTATTAGGGGTGTAAAAGAACGTGTTTGGTTTGTTTGAATGGTGTGTTTGAAATTATTTGTGTTTGAAATAAACTCGTGTTTGAAATTGTTCGTGAAATTACTATTCGTGTTCGGTTTGATTTGTTTGAAAAGTATTTGAAATGTTTGAAATGTTCAAATTGCTCGAATTATTCGAATTATTTGAATTGTTTGAAATCTTACAAATTTGTTCGATTTGTTCTAATTGTTCGGAATCTTTCAAAAGCTTAAACCTATATGAAATTAATGTTTAAACATGTATAAATCACAGCACAAATGTAAAATAGCCGAAACACAGCTCACAATAAAACCAAAATATCATATCTCATCCATAAAAATGTCAGATCTAGAGGCAATATGTGAGATTTCACTCAAAAAAAACTAGGTTTCATTCAAAGAAACTAAATAAATCTAATAAAATATGAGAAGATTTAAGCTAAGAGAAAAACCGGAAGATAAATACGAAATTATAAAATGTAATATAAACTAAGAGGTGAACCTGAAAATCAAATTAATTATTTATAGGATTTAATTTTTTAAAAGTATGATAAGTTCTTCGAGTACATAATTATTTTTCAAATATGATAAATTTTTTATATATAATTATTTTAAATTATTTTATATTTCGAACAATAACGATTCGAACACGATCGAACGAATGACTGTTCTTGTTTGGTTCATTTATAAACTGAAAGAAAAAAAATTGTTTGTGCTCGTCTCGTTTGCTTATCGAACGAATCGAACACAGACTCCCCGACGAGCCGAACACGAACTATTCGCGAACAGCAAACTTTTTTTGACAGCCCTAAACATTATATATTCCCAGTGAATTAAACAATGCGAAGAAAATTTTTAATGCAATGTGCAATCAAAGAAAATGATTTGGCATGTTTGATTCACTTAAAAAAAAAAAAAAATTCACATGGAACTTGTGTGGAATAAAATTGGCACACCCATATAAAATTGAGTTTACTAGTCATTTATCATAACAAACTATCCCTTTGAATGCTAGGTCCAAACATCATCAACAAATTCATTTATGATTTATTGGATATTTAATCTTGGATTAGTTCGTTAGATGTTACTCTAATTTAATCCCAAATACGATAACATCAAATTTGAAAATGAGTAATGGGACTTATTTGCAATCATTTCATAATAAAATTTAAAATTAATTGTTGTAATTAAAAATATTGCTTAACTTCTAATGATTTTTTAAGTTTAGAGTCAACTTTTAAATGAGTCACCAAGTTATTAATTATCATGATGACTTTGGCATTGATTTAGGTGAGACGATATACACATATAAAAAGAATGATTTCAGATGTCTCCCTTACAAATAAGCATTAGATGTAGCTTATAAGTATAATGTTAATTACAATAGTTTTTGTACAATATATATTTTGGAAGCATGGTTAAAAGCATTACTACAATAAGAACACTTAAGAAATTCCAAATAAATAAGAAAATATGATCATGATGACTTTGGCCAGTAAAGTTGACGAGTGATTGTCCATATATATATAATTCACACACATGCGCAAATTTACATATATTAGGCCTTCAATGGAGAGAAGAATGCAGTGCAACGAAGGCCATAACAAAGTGAATTGTAAAGTTATGAGCATTATATTCTTATGGATCAAAGCAATTGATAAAGCTCTTTATTTTTATGTGAATTTCTTTCATTAATGTTAAGTGTTTGTATTAATATAAATATGTCTAATTTATATTAAAATGTTTATTGGTGAGATTTTTTGTAATTGGCATCAAATACTATTACATTATTTCTCTTTCATGTCATTAAATGGTAAGTATGATTGATGTGGTTTAATCATACTAAGTGATGTAAGAAAAAAAAAAGATAAAAATGTAAAATATCATAAAATAGTACAAAGAATCGTAAAATAGTGCAAAAAAACTTCAAATTACTTTACATGAAATAAAATAACATTATATAAGTTGGCCTTATAAGTCAAACTTTATACCTCACCAATATGCTCTTGGTTTTCTTTTTTTTTTCTTTATATTGATTTGCACTAGTAAGATTATACTTGACCGCCAATATTATTTGATAGGCCTCATAATTTGTTATCATTTTTGTTGTCATTGTTTCTTTTTTTATTATGAAGTAGTTATCATATCATCAATACATCACACCATTATGTATACAAGATGGCAAACTTGCCCTAATTAAAGGCAAAAAAATGCACTCACTTATGTAGTCCTTAGACAGACTTGCAAGATCAAGTTTAGGATGGACCTGTTAGTTAGATCCTAAGGGAAAGAAATAGCTCAACTTAAGATAAGCATAGTTGTAGGGTTTACATGAACTCATAAATTTCAAGATATTTACCCACCATGATCAAGGTAGACTCATCAACTAATTAAGAGGATCAGGATCACCCATAAAGTTCATGATCTCATTAAATTTACTTTGAGCTCATATGATCAATTTAAAAAAAATAATCATACGAGCACAAAAGGTTATTTGGAAGCTTCTACAAAGAAATCAACAAATTTTTATCAAGCTAATAATCATCTACCAAAATATGTGTGCTTCTCACTTTATCATATGTCGCTTGTACTTTGTATCTTTTTTTGTGTATACCATATTTTGTAACCATTATTATAGTATTTAATTTTCTTTTATTGCCTATAAATAGGAGGTTGCATGGAAAACCACATTTAGGCAATCCTATGTAGATTTTTTGCTTCCCTATTCTCAGCTTTTCTCTATATCTACTCCTTTTCCTCTATGTGTAGCATAATCTAAGAATAGCTATATTAGGATCCAACATCCAAAAAATTGCAATGAGTTTGATTTATGCTATAAGACAAAATAGACATATAGAGATCCATAGAAAATGTCAACTAGAGAAACACTTTTTTTAAAATTATTTTGTAAATATGGAGAACCAAGACTTTATGATAGCTAGATAATGAACTAAAAGAGGAAAGTTTGATAAAAAAAGTTAAGAAATCATATAGAATATCTTAATGATTGCAGAAAAAGTGCAATTGCCTGAGTAATCTATAGACTTAATTACTTATTGAAGAAAGAGGTAAAAGCTTTATTATCCCTTGACAAAACCAACTATCAAAATTCTAAAGCAAAAGTGTCATTCCCTAAATCTTGTCAAATTGAAGGGCTAGTAGAGTAGAACGACCATAACTGTAGATAGGCTACCAAATGTCAGCCTCCTACCAAGTTTAAAAGTTTCCATTTGAACTTATATCAAGGTTAGACTAATCTACATTACATTAATAAAGTTTAAAGTGCTAGTTATTCCTAAAACTCTCCAAAGATTTTTCCGTTAGATGATTTTTTTACATTCCACTCGAGTTAAACACAACATTCATTAAATTCAAAAATAATTTGTCACTCAATTTTCTAACTTAGAATACCCTTAAAAGAATTCATAAGCTTTTAAAAAATAGCACAAAAACTAGGTGACTCATTAAGGAACTTTATTTTGAGGTTATGAAGAGACATACTTGAGATAAAAGAATTGCTGTCTATTAGGTAATCATATTATTTTTAAAATTAATACTGAAATATGAACTTATATTAATGTAGCACCGATAGATGAATTGTACTATTATTTATCTGAAATATAAAAAAAAAATTTCCTTATATAAGTTTGTACACACGTTGAAACTTATATTTATAGAGAGATATTCATATTATTATTATTTTAATCTTATTAAATTTAAATCATTATCAAATTTTCTTTACAATAACTTAGTTTTGGTGACTTACATAAATATCAAATAATAATAATGTATTTATATATCAAACAGATAAAATATAATATATATTTATATAAAATCCCTATTTTTAATACTCATTCATGCAAAATTTTGAATTGATTGAGACAATCAGGTGTTAATGTAAGTAAATATTTGGTGTTGCATATGAAAATGAGCATTATCTAATCATAGTAATGACAAAAAATCCACACAACATGCAATGTACTCATGAAACACATGTAAAACTCATGCAAAAATGGAAGCACATAATCACTGAAAGTGATTCACACATGTATGACACTGCTTACAAAGATGAAATGATGGACATCCTTAAGAGGAATGATGTCATAGATTTGTGCAAGTGGCACTGTTGTATTAATCCTCTAATATGGATAAAATCAAGATAATAATTAGTAGATTTTTTTTTAATATATTTATGGTAAGATTTGGAGACATTGTTGTTAACAATATCATCATCGATGTAGAGAATTTATTTAGTTATGATCATGTCTAAGTTGAGACTACTTAAATATCATATCTAGCCCAATTTTTACTCTCTATATAAGGTCATACCCATGACCTCAAAAGGGGCTGCATTTTCTATTCGGACACCTGACGTACCTCTACGTGCGGTGCAGAGTATTCTTGAGTTATTTTCAGGTTATTTCTGGGTTATTTTTAATAATTCCGAAATAACCTAGAAATAACCCGTGGTATTTATTTTTCGGTTATTTTTGGGTTATTTCGAGATTATTGAAAATAACGCAGAAATAATCTGAAAATAATTCAGGAATACCCTGCACCGCACGTAGAGCTCGGTGAGGAGTCTGCACAGAAAACCTTTTTGCTCAAAAGATATTAATGTTCTAAAACTTGGCAGAAAGGAAAAAAAGAAAAAGATATATATATATATATGAAATTTTTATGGAATGATGTTTAGGAAATGAATTGTGCAGGAAAAAACTAAAAAGACGGCAAAATTTGGGGATCTTATTTAGTTGGGGTTATTTTTATTTATTTTAAATTGAAAAATATTTTTTAATAATATAGTTTTATATATTTAAGAAAATTAACTAATTTTAAACCGATTCAACATAACTTTTTACATTTTTTTTTTAATATTTGGGATAAATTAATAGCAATACATTATAATTTAACGTCGAGAGATAATTTTTCTTTATTTAATAACTGATTTATTATTTTTATTTATGTTATTTGATTGCAATAAAATTTAGATGTAATTTACATAATATCTTTGATACGCCACCAACAAATTTTCATCATCAATCACTAATCTCGAGGCAACATTTTTGGGCAATGAACGTTAAAACTTCAATTAAGAATCATTCAGAACTTTGATTTTAGTAAACTTATGGTTAAACTGACCGACTCGATGAAAGGGACCCAAGGATATAAAAACTAATTTAATCCGAGTCAGATCCAGCCCAGATCAAATCATTAAACTACTCTTGGAGGATTTCCAAACACATTTGGAATGTCAAACAAATGTCGAATCTAGCGAGCTCATAGTTGAATTGAGCGTCTCGACAAGAACAATCCAATGAGCTCAAGTTCACTTAATTCTTGCATCATTAAGACACCCAAATGTCCATTAATCTCCGTTTATTGAAAGAAGCTCTCCAGACCGTCCGATCAAAATGATTCATATTCCTGCATTAATTGCACCCAGAACACTATAAATAGTACATCCCCTCTTATGTGGGGGGCTGAAGCTTAGATAAAGCCTGAGGGTTTGAGGAGGAGTTGCAGCCTAGCATCACCGCCGACCACCGCCGACTTCCGTCGATCTTTGCAAACCGTCATCAATCAACACCAATCAGACGTCGACAGTTGACGTTGTAATCTTAAAAATATACTTACCCTTTCTCGTCTGTGGGACAAGGGATCTCTGTAATCATCAATCAATAGTGAATTTTCACAGCTAGGTCATGTCCTATGTTTTTTTCCTTTCTCGGTATTTCACGTAAAAATTCTAGAATCGTCACAGTTTTTTTCTCTTTCATTTGTGTGTGTGTGTTGAATTCTCGTACAATGCTAAAACAATAATATGTTACTATATTAACTTATTTTATTTTTTTAATTACTTAAAAATTAATTCAAATCTTTTAATTAATGAAAAAACTAATTTTAATATTTTCTAATGTATAAAGTAAATAATAATATTTAATATATTATCTATTAATAATGTACTTATTTATAATAAAATAAAATATATTTAAATCACCACCCGGGTGATTTATTTTGAACTACTGAACCAATGTATTTAAAGGTGCCACAATTAAACTATTTAGAATTTGATAAAAATGAAAAATATGAGTATAGATAAAAGTAGGTGATCGATTATAAATAGCAACTTAGAAGATTTTTATATAATAAACTCTAAAATTTAATCAGTGGCTACTTAGGATTATTTTGTATTTTATTTTAATTTTTGTTTATTTTTTTATTTTAAACATATTCAATTACCATATAGTTATTATTACACACCACAAATGTCTAAGAATTTTTTTGAATATTTTCAAAAATATATTAATTTATTACTAAAAATAAAAAATGTAAGAAAATACCAAACAAACATTTTTTTAAAAAATAAAAATAAAAATAAAAGTGATCCCAAATAAACCATACAAGCTATAAAAAAGTCCTTTAAAAAAAAAGAAAATTATGAGAAGAAAATCATGTGCTTCAAAATTTACACATTAAGGGGTACTTTTTGCATGTATTTTATGATGGAAAAAATAGCCAATAATACCACATATGACTATAGCTATTAACAGTCCGACTTCGAGCCACCCAACTCGAAATCAGCTCGAATAGGATTAATGCGACTCAAAATCGGCTCATGGCTCATTGTAGCAGATTTCGAGCCAAGCAAGCTCAAAATTCAATCGAGCTCAATCCAACTCGAAATTGAAACAAGCTACCTCATTTTGAATTATTAGGATCAATTTCAACTCAAATCAGACTCATAATTGAAACTAACTCAAACAGAGGTATTTGGATCCGTTTCAACTCGAAATTGGCTTGCAACTCCTTATAATAAATTTTACTTAGTAATATAATAAATTTTTTACTATGAGCCAATCTTGAGTCAATTTGAGTCATATGACTCGAAATCATCTTGAAATAGGCTCAAAAAACATTCGATCCATAATTTCAGCTCACAACAGACTTTTTGTTTATTTCAATCTGATCTCAATCTAAGCCAAAATTCAAAACAATTTTCAAGCGATTAACAATCTTCGCGCTAAATTCACTGCTCTAACTTTGATGACATCTATATCAAATTATTAGACATAAATATTGAAAAGATAGTTATTAATAGGGCTGTCAAAAAAGCTCGTTGTTCGCGAACAGCTCGTTTTCGATTCGTCAATGAGTTCGTGTTTGATTCGTTCGATAAGTAAAGGAGACGAACGTGAACAAATTTTTTTCGTTTGATTAGTTAAACGAACCAAACACGAACAGTGATGTGTTCGTTCGTGTTCGAATCATTATTGTTCGAATATAAAATAATTTAAAATAATTATATATAAAAAATTTAAGATAATTTTAAAAATTAAAATTTAAAAATTATTATATATAATAAATTAATAATAACAATATATTATACCATATTAATAATATACTAATATAGATATTATATATTTATATAATATAAGTT